CATCTTCTAATATAACTGATAATATGATAACAAATAGGAATGGACTAAGAGGACAACCTTGTCGAATATCTGTTCTAACCTTACCTTTTGCTAATTTACCATTAAGCCCTTTAATCTCAAAGGTTGGGTCTGAGCAGATTGAGTTAACCAGGGCTTGAATGTCTGATGGGATCCCTCAATATAAGAATAGAAATCTATATTTCTCGTATAATTCCTATTTTTAAATGTTTAAGAATCTAATTAAAAATAATTCAATCTTATATTCTTCTTCGAATATCTTTAAAAATCAATTTTTGAAAAGATTTGGCGAGAATTTCGAAATCATATCGATTAGATATGATTTCTATTATCGATTTCATCAATTTTCGATTTGAGAAGAGAATCTATATATAAAAATTAATATATAAATAATCAATCTAACTATTCGATAATTCTAGAAATATTAATATATCTCTTATATAAAAAATAGATTAGGCATATTCGAAAGCTATATAATCTAATAATCTGTTAATTCAATATATACTTTTTATTATATCTATGATATTCATATAAAAATTATTTATTATCAAGATAAATATTATAATTAAAAAAAATATATATAATCTCATCAAAAGCTTCATAAATTCCTAATTAAATTCTTTTTTATTTAGAATTGTCGGTCAATACCTACCTCCGATCAATATCTATCAGCCTATAGATTCAATTTAGAGAGAGAATCTATTCTCAAAATCTAATATCAACTTATTCAATCAATTAATATATAAAACGAAATTCAAATTCATTCATTTGTTTGCTATAATTTATTCCCATATAAATATTAATATTGAAATAGAATATCTTCTAATAGTTTTTTATAATATCTTTAGATTTTTTCTTCAGATCAAAATTCAAATCGATTCAAAAATCGAGGTCGTTTCAATTAGAAATTTTCATATAAAGAAATAATATTCTTTCATCAGAAATTCTTTATTCAAAAAAATTATCTTTTAGCGGATTTATACGAATAAATTCAAATTATATAGACTATAAAATATTTCAATTCTTATCAGATTATAATCAAAATCGAAGAAAAATATCAAGATATAAAAAATTATATTTCTACGATTTTTTCATCTCATTTCTAAATATTTAATATAAAAATTTGCTCGTATAAATCATCATAAAGAAATATTTCAAAATCAATTATCAAAAGAGAGAAGATAATATATATATATAGAATTCATTTTTTCATTTTTTAATTCAAAAATATTCAATTATTCAATCTAAAATTTCTAAAATCAAGATAATAAGAACTATTTGTTTATTTTATTGCACGAAAAATCATGAAATCATCATTTCTATTTCTAAATCATTGAGTCTAAATTCTAAGCAATCTCGATCCCAACACAAAAATATTGAAAATATAGTTACATAATTATCACGAAGATTGTTTCCAAGAAGTTACAATAATTAATCTTTAATCTAAGAAAAGAATATAGTAGTAAGAAACATACCAAATTTCCCCCAAGCAATCGACTATATCCACCATTCCGTAATCCAAGCAGACTCAAATCCGAACCACAGCACAGGACCCCAACCGAGAACCACACTACACCGCAGGGGGAGGGGATCCACTCCAAGCAGACCCAAACCCCGAACCGCGGGAGAACCACGCCACAGCAAAGCGAGGGAGTACCAACCATGGGGGGGAGGGGGGGGGGGTGGGGGATCATTTTTTCAAGTATATTTGGCAGAACTAATTTCGCGCGAATCATTATACTGAATAAAATCGACCAGAAACTATGATAAAACATATACACAAGGAAAATATTTCGACTACTGCAGCGGCTTCCGGTTGGATTTCGTCTGGAAAATGTTCTTCCGACATTCGTTTCGATTCCGTGGTATACCCAGCCTCCCTATCCTGTGGAGGACACAGCAGCTCCCTCAGGTGGGCTAACGCGTACAAAACAGGGCTCGGTTCTCCCTCAGGTCTAAAGGGCCGGTATCGAAGTACGATGTACCAGGCTGCTACGCAGGCGTTTGTAAAAAGTTAAAGAGGAATCCTTTGTTTCTTTCTTTCTTTCTTTCTTTCTTTATTTTTTCGACACACATGGAAACACAATCTAGAATTTCTGTCATGTTCGCTTCTGTATATGTTCGATATCAAAACTTCAGTAGGAGTTCCGTAAGTTGAAAAGTTATTGTTGATCTTACAAAACATCTTTTCATTACGATCATGATCATAACTAGCTCACACTATCAGACTATTATTTTTATCTCTCTCTCTCTCTCTCTCTCTCTTCTGCCGAAATGATATGGGATCGCCGAGCAACGCGATCAGTCATCAGCACAACTTCCTGTCGATGCGCATGGATGTATGTCACATGTGTTACTTGAATAGTATTGAAATAAGCCTCTGTTACTTTAGCTCACGTTTCCGCTTCAGTACATGAACATGCTTGACCAGCCGGGATCGGCCTGCAAATCCTTGTCGAAATCTTACAGGGTCTATCTCCGTTGAAAACCATAAATCAAAGCCTTAACCAAGTCAAGAGGACACAGCGTTGGATGAAAGCAGGACCGGGTTCTCCAGCTTGAGCACAAAGACGTCCAACACCTTACAGCTGTCAGTAGCATTGAACGGCCCTCAAAAGCAAGATCGTAGAATTTCAGCAGCCGCCAGAGGAAAGCGCCGTGATCTCTGTTACACTGTTACACCATCGTCCAGTGGCACAACCCTGGAACGTGCATGCACTATAAGCATCTCTGCCCTTTGCCCCGGCCCGCCGGCGAAAAACACCTAGCTTACAACCTGGCTGTATCTCTTCAACAATGTCCTAGGTGGTGTCTCAAAGCAATGGCAGGTTTTCAACAGGTTTTCAGTCCTCAGGCACGGGCTGCAGTGCCAACTGCCAAGTTCCGTATCCACCTGAGGTACAGGAGCCATCTGTGCTGAGACATTCGCACACTCTTCAATGATTGTGGCTCAACAACACGACTTCGGCTGTTCAAGCGGAATTTCTGACCATGCCTACACAGAGACGGCCAAGCAAGGCATGCAAATAACTGCAACACCGGGGGATGTGTGGCTCTTCGTTTGCCCCTCTTCCGTTTCACCCAGTCGCCCTGCCACTCCGGCTGATTCTTTATGCTTGAACGCATAGCCTCAAACCCCAATGCCTTGGTAGACCTGTTGCTCGAATTTCCGAAATTTCCCTAAAGCACCAGATCCAAACACTCTGGGATCACCACTTGCCGGAGGCACAAACCTCGGCCGCGGCTTACAAGTATCATGGCTGGAGACTTACATTGTTCCGGACAAAGGGAGGAGCGGCTTGGATCCCAGCTGTTGCGACCGTGATCGCAACCCTCGGACTCGGAACTGCAGGGACTTTCTGAATACTGTTTTTCCTCCATTCATTTCTACACGGAAGAAGCACTAGTTTGGGCAGCTACGGGTTTTGAGGTTTGGGGCGCCGGAGTGAAAAGGACACCCAGTTGCCGGCCTCAAGAGCTACAGCACTCCGCAGGGAGAGAGCCAGCATTCCCTGAACACAAGATGCCCGCCTTGCTGATACATGTCTTAGATGCGGCAAGTTCGATGCCCTCTGGAGCTAGTTATACGGCTGTGTGTTTCGAACTAACATGACCAATGTCTGCAGCTCTTTCTTATACAACTGTGTGGCCGTGCGTTTGTGATGGCAGCGCCTGCGCTTGTAGCTGTTTACGCAACCGAAAACGTTCATTGTTTCTGTTGTTCGCTGTTGAATATCAGCACGGTGCATCCATTCATCCATCACCTCCCAGCAGTAATGCTTGTCATTATGAGTCATACTTTGCTCATCCTTGACATGTGAATGTGGCCACGAGCTGCTGTTTTCCAAGAATTGACTACAGTGTGTATGTGTGTGTGTGCACACCTGAACATGGTGAGTAACTGCAATTTTTTCAGCAAGCTGCGGGGGGACCGTCTTTCAAGCATGGTTGACGGTCCAACGAAAAGGGCCATGCTTGTGACTGATGTGGATCGGGGACGCTCGATCCACGTACCTGCTGTAAAGGCCGCCCGAATTTCTACCCTTAATGCTGTTGTTTCGTACTGGCCTTCAGAAGTGATCTCAATAAAGTGCTTTTCTGCATTAGGATGCTCGAGGTTCGCCTCATCAGTTCTTGCCAAGCCTAAGTGTGTGTGTTCTGGCATTTCCCGACATGGGGCCAGATCAAAGCCGGCAACGCCGGAGCCCACGTTAGCGGATGTGGGACGCCGACGAGCAAACTTCCAACGGCATAAGGTCTATCATCAGGACAGGTCAAGTTTCATTTTCCGAAGCTGTCCGATGCCATCATTTTGATCCCTCCGGAACTGGCACAAGGGTCGACGCTTGTTGTTCGACGCTCTGCTTGCAGGTTTTACTTCAGAGTGTCTCAGGTATCTCGACTCAGGCAGGATTCAAGCAGCGAGGGATGCAATTGCCTTCATGTGCGTTCACACCTGTGCATTCACCACATGCATGCATGAGGCTTACCTAGTAGTGTACCTTGTTGGGGTTTCTGATTTCCAAGGTTGCGAGGCTCGTAGGAGTGAGGCCGCCAGGTTCTGCTTGAACACACCATGTCTTGCCGTAGCTTTCGTCTTGAAGTGATGATAAAGCCCTGGTTTACCAGGGCCTGTGTGCGTGTGTGCACACCTAAACATGGTGAGTAACTGCGATTTTTTCAGCAAACTGCGGGGGGACCGTCTTGCAAGCATGGTTGACGGTCCAACGAAAAGGGCCATGCTTGTGACTGATGTGGATCGGGGACGCTCGATCCACGTACCTGCTGTAAAGGCCGCCCGAATTTTACCCTTAATGCTGTTGTTTCGTACTGGCCTTCAGAAGTGATCTCAATAAAGTGCTTTTCCGCATTAGGATGCTCGAGGTTCGCCTCATCAGTTCTTGCCAAGCCTAAGTGTGTGTGCGCATGCCCGGACTGGCTGAATGTACTCTGTTCATCTCTGTTCCATAGAGAAAGAACGCTCATGATGTAGTACTTGCTCGAAACTTACTGCATGACAAGTCTGAAAGGCGTGGCTTCATGCACTTCGACAAGGCAGGCACTTGCAACTGTAGTACCTCTCGACTCCTGATAGTGTTCCGCGCAGCTCTAGCAAAGGTCCCGGCGCCGACACTGTCTTCAAGGAAAGGCGTCGCAGCCTTTCTGCTGCATTCGTGTTTCTAGCGCAGTGGTGGAGTCTCAACATCGAGCCCGAAAGCCGATTGCCGAAACCTTCAACCGAGACGCTCTGCAGTGGGAATGGTCTCTCGATTGAAAAAGGGGGTGTTTGAAACTGTGCCAGTGGCAACGTTTGACATGCAGTGCGAGCCCTAAACCCCGAACCCCGACTCCTCTGTCAGCATTGTGCCCTGGCTTCTTTCGGATTGCGGGGTCAGGATGCGACGTGTTTTGGACCACAAGCCTTGCCCAGCCTTGAGAACATCGTTCGAATGGCGAGGTTGCCATGGTTGCCGTGTGCACAAAGTAATGTGCGGCCTCAGAGTCGCTTGTCTTCAATGGCTCTATAATACTAACAATATAATAAAATATAATTAAATATAACATAGTATAATATAGTGTAATATAGTATAATACAGTATAATACAGTATAATATAGTATAATATAGTATAATATAGTATAACAGTTAACCGTAAGAGTAGGTGGGCAATTGAACAACTGGAGGGGTCTACCTGGCAGCATGACAACCAGACCACTTTGACATGCAGCCCTATCGAATAAGACTGCTTTCATACTTCAGCACCATCTGTTGCTGATCTCGCTAGCACCACGACGGGGTGGTCTGGACTTTCAAGCCAAGGCTGCAAACACGACTTCTGGTGCTTGGAAGCCCACCTTTGGGCATCCACGATTGGCAAGCCAGAGTCTCGTAGCCTTTGCATGTAGGGGTGCCAAAATTTCCGCATCGCAAGGTTTCCACCAAAAGCTGGGGAGGTGGTGATGCAAGCCTATGATAGCCTAAGTAGCTACCAGGACCCGGTATTCTTAAGCCTTTACCCTCCTAAAACCTAAGCAGAACCTGTAAATCCTCGGCTGGAAACCTCTGAACCCCAAACCCTGCAGCAGGCCCTCAAATAGCACCCCATACATCCTGATCCCAACACTCAGTCCTCCAAACCAAAGGCTAAAACCGAGCAGCCTTTAGTCTATAGTAACTATAGTACATCGTATTCGGTACCTCGTACAGCGTATAGAGCATATAGTATACAGTCTCTACCTTTTTTTGCTTTGAGTGTCTAATGTATGGTCTATGGTTCAGCATTGCAAAGTTTAGGGTTTAGGGTTTAGGGTAGTACTACCCGAAAGTGGCATCTTGCCGGCCTTTGCTCGTCCACCACTGCAACAGCCAGTGCACCTTCACGAGTTTTGGGGTTTAGGGTTTAGGGGTTTAGGGTTTTACTGTTTTAGGGTTTAGGGTTTTCAAAATCAGAGAACGAAAGGGCTTCGACTCTCGCACTCACGCATGGCAGGCAACGGGTAACGCCGGGTCCACAGGAATTTCGCGCCAACATTTCTCGAAAGTTGGCAATTAGGATCTTGAGGTTGCGGCTTCCGGGTGGGTAAGCATCTTTTTTTTTTGGGTTCGGGGTCTGACAAACAGATTTTGGAAATTACCGGAAACTGCAAATCGATGCTAAACCCTTGCACCCAAACCTTTGAGGCCTTGAAGCCTTCAGAAGTTGTTGCCAAAGGGATACTTGTGAAGCTGTTTGTGCCGCAGTGCCGCAGTTGTAGTCATCTCTCGGGATTCTGCCAGTGCCGGTACGATGACGACCAGGATGATGATTACGACTGTTACGAGGCAGAGGGTTATGCTACTTTCAAGCGGAGATACCACTCATAAGAGCATTTGACCATCTCGGCTCCGGGTCGAACCCGGATCACCATGCTATGGTCTGCATATCTCAAGAGTTGTTGTTGTCGGTTACGCTACTGTCTGTTGTTAAGTTACACTTTTCGTCGACAGTGCTCCGATCCCCATTGTTATCCCTGCCACCTTTAATTATCCTTGCCCTAAACCCTCATCCCCTAACCCAAGCACCTAAACCCCTAGACCCTAAAACCCTTGCTGCTCCTTTGCAGCTCTCCTGTCATCGTCACATGGTACTACCGGCCTCTAGCTCCCACGAGATGTGTCACAAGGCAGTCAAAGGCAACAGCCTCCCAAAACCTGGAGCCAAGCTTGGGGCTTCAGAAGCCAAAGCTCGATATTCCATCCCCTTTCCCCCCCTCTCCCCAAACACAAAAGAGGCGACGCGAGATCCTCTCTCCCTCCCTCTTTTGTTTGCTACAAGGCTCTTCTTTTGTTCCCTGGGCATCAGATCCTTCACTGAATAAGCTGTGGACTTGGCGTTCGAACTTGGGAGAGTTTGGACCTTTCAACCTATACAAGACTGTTTCGTTCAGGTCAGAGGATGCTGGGTTCTCTAAACATGGAGTGCGCTCCGGAGGCAGCGCATAAACTTCGACTAAACCCGGAACTTCGAAGTCGCTGTTCTGCTTCGGGGCCTGTGATTTGATTAAGACCGATGGCACCGAATCTGAAAAAAGGTAGTGTCGGGAGTTGAAATCTTATAGCTAAGCACCTTAAGGCAGGGAGCAGGTGCTTGGACTTGGTGAGGATCTCCCGCTGATTCTCTGGAAGTGCACCGCCGCCCACATAGCAGGTAGTGACATGCAGGGCCTGCGGCCACGTGAACCTTAGCTTGGTCTCTTGCGTTATCGTGATTCTGAGGAGTAAACCGTCTTTTCAATGCCCTTGAGTTTTGATGGAAAAGCTTGAATCCAGAAGCCTCGTTCTAGGATCTCTTCAACTCTCACCCCTCCAGCCCAAGTCCAAACCAGAAGGGCCGGGTGCGACTCGAGAATTGACTCCGAAGAGTGGGTTGAAAGTTCAAGCTGTTTCCGGTGGACAACCTCCAGGCTTTGTGGACAACCTCCAGGCTTTACACCCGACCAGTTTCGGACGGATAAGGAGATTTACATGGGGGTTTCCCAAAATAGGGGACCCTAATATAGTACCCCAAATAGTAGGATCCTTATTATAAGGACCCCAAAATAAGGTACCCCTTATTTTCGGAAACTCCCATATCCCCAGCGGCAAGCCTCTAGCTCTGAGAACTGAGCTTTGACACGTATCTCTCCACCTGGAAGGGTTTAGGGTTTTGGGTTTAGGGAAACGCCCCGGGATGCACATAGATTCAAAGCCTGTTTCTGAACAAACCTGCACCATGGTCTTGAAAAGGCCCCAGACCCTAAAACCCAAACCTCCCGGACAGTATGATATACGCTTAAAACGCCCTACACATTACATCGTACACCCAAGCCCTCAAAACCCTCCAAGCTGGAAACCCAACCACCCACCCCCCATAACCCTCCAAAGTAACTTTGCTCCAGATGCGAGCGGCAAGTGGGAAGGGAACGCCTCTCCCTCTTCAGAGAGATCGGAGATGATGCGCATGGCATCTGACAGCCGCTGGAGAGACACCTGACAAAGGCTGCTAACAGGTTGGGGCCGAATCCCTTCATCCTGCTCGTAACAGGCATCCACTCCACGGCCCAAGGCCGTGGTTTCAGCATCCACAATCCAATGCCCCATCTTCCGTCTTCCCCAAACCTAGAGCCCTAATAAAGGGGCCTGAACTGTTAAGTTGTCATTTGGGGGTTAAATCCTACTATGAGCATGTGGGACTTTCCGAAAATTAGGGTACCTTATTTTGGCGTCCTATAAGGATCCTACTATTTAGGGTACTATGTTAGGGTCCCCTTTTTTCGGAAACCCCCATGTAGGTGTTCATTCACTAAGTTACTGAGAGACTTCTGTCATGAACACATGTTATGAACACAAGCCTCCAAAGTCCGATGGTGAGGCTCCACTTCCAGCGCCACATACCGGACTGCCGGGATCACATCAGGCCTTGATCGACTTGAGGGTTCCAGGGTCAACTTGGCGGTTTAGGGTTTACCCTAAACCCTAAACCGTTTAGGGTTTCTAGAGGTCGTCGTTTGGATCCAAAAGCCGGAGCCGGAATTCAGCCTGTCGTGACTTGCCATTCTGGGGGAGTTTCGGCTTCAAGCTGCAAAAACTTGAAGCCCCACCTCACCATTAAGCCAAGGTGTTACGTATATGCCAATTCGCTACAATCTAACTGTTTGCGAGACAATGGGCGATATTCACGCACATTTACAAACTAGGTAGGGTTTACGGATTGGACACACGAATGTCTGACAAGAGACTATCCAAAAACCTGAGGCGCAAGGTTTTCGGGGTCCGGCTCAACCTCAAAATCAAGTGGCACCGACGCGGAGGTCGTTCTTGCTACGTGTACTACGGATAGGTATCTCCCTGTTACGAATGATCATGCCCGTGGCAATGCCCATGCCATCGTCACTATCGCAACTATTGGCGACTGCGGAAGCAGGTGCCCCGTCTAGGATCTTCTCCTGCTGCGCCTGCTGCAAAACTCCTCCCGCTGATACACCACACGTCTTAATAAATAGAATAGGATTTTGGGGTACATTATAGTATAACAATATTATTAAGGACACCCCCCAAAAGAAAAGTAGTGTAGGTAAGTATTAAAGACCTCTATATTAGCAACGCCTACCTGGGACCTCGTGCTGCCAGCACCCTGGACCCTCTACCAAAACCAGCGCTTATTTTCCCAACCGCTCCGCTTAAGATTTCGGGTTTAGGAGCCCCATAGTGTGACCATGCTGTCTGGGGGAATGTAGCTGAAGGCTGGCAGGCTTAAGGTCCTTATCAACATTAACTTGGTTGGTCTTGTTGTTACTGCTGCACATTATGCTGTTGCAATGTATTATTCAAATCTCTGATCAATTGAATATGCTGCTGCATGTGCTCGCCACGATGATGACTCTTGCCGCTCTTACTGTTGGTCCCATGGACGTCAATCTTGCTGTCACCCCTGCAGCAGAAGTCAGATCAGCCCAGCTGCTCCGTGGACTCCGGCACTGCCGCCGGCTGAAGAAGGCTCGGCCAAAGTTTTTCGGCACAGTCGCGGGCATGGTGCGACTGACTCCTGAGTTGCCCTACAGGGCTCTATGCTGCTTTACGCAGGATCTTCGGCTCAGCACAAGGGGGGTGTGGTATTTAAGGTTTACGGCCGCAACCTCACCAAGGGGGTTCCGGAAAGCAGCAACAGTCTCGGGCTCTGCGACTTTAGGCTTCTGCAGGCAATGCCCCCCAAGGATGATGTGGTTTAAAACTGCCACAGCTTAATTTTTGTTAAAAGCATGTCTGCCTCGTAAGATGACTACAAGGCCCAGACTCCCGGCATCCGGACTGCGAAGACCTGATGCCAAAAGCAGCCTTGCAATCGCAGAGAGGAGCGGGCGCACAGGCTCCTGATTTCGAGAAGGACTCGAAAGGAGACACCATGTCTTTGGGCTCCAGTTGTGGGCTTGCATGTGCTTAAATGCACACTGAATGAAGTGGGGAGTTTGAGGCCAAGGGTCCAGGGTGAAGGTTTGTCACTTAGAACTTTGAGTGGCAGTGCTTTCATCTGCACTTGGGTGGGGAGGGGGTCCTCGTTGGCAAAGGGCTTTTGCATCACCAGGAGGGCCTGGTGAAAGAGAGCCCGGAGCTCGAGTTGATGCCATGGGTGAGCATCGGAATGCCCTTGCCAGGAGGCCAAAGTCCCAGTGCTGATGTAGGGTGCCTCAACCACCTGCAGGCACTGCAGACTCAGGGGCTTCGGATTGGGGAGGGTATGTCCTTCAGCGAACAGGCAGGCCTTGGAGGAACAACGGAAAAAGGTAACTCTTACAAAGATAAGGTCTGATGTTGGAGGGGCTCACCTCAATCGAGGTGTCTCCGAGGTCACTCAGCTTGGCAAGACGATGGTGCAGCCGAAGAAAGCTGAGAAGAACGAACAAGGACGTTTCATTCCCTGAAAGCGTATCGTGCGATGATCGGAGCAGCAAGCGGCTTGCGCACTCTGCTAGAATGGTCGGGCTCCAGGGATATGCCCATGGCCCAAAGTGCTTCTCTTCCTCTTCCAACAAATCACTCGAAACCGCCGAGGACTGCTCTGCAGATGGCTGTATCGCCAGAGCCTTGAGGCAAAGGCGGCACCCAACTTTCGTGCTCAGTTCTTGCAAGACCTGCGCTTCGCGGCGCAACGCGGAAGGTGGATGGTTCTTATCCAAGAGGAGCAAGTGCAACTTCTCAGGGTCAGCAGCCGCCGCTTCCTCGAAGAAATCCTCAATAGCTCTCCGGTACTGGCCGGCGGCCAACCGACGGCAGCGCACCACGTCTTGAGAGGATCTTGCTGTAGCATCCATGCCTAGGGCCCAGAAAGACTAATCCAACAAGCCAACACCCCTGCGTCATACTTTGGCCTATTGCATAGCGCCCTCCCCACTTGCGACGTCGAGATTCCTAGCATCTTCAGCTCGTCGCCCGTGAACTCGTCGCTGGAAACGGTTGCAACAGAGTGCAAAGTCTTGGGTGGCTGCTCTACTCCATGGTCCCCAGGCTTCTCTAGCTTCCCTTGCCGGTATGCTTTCACGGCAGCCTGCTGGCCCATGTGAAAAAGGCGCTCCAGCAGAGAACTCTTTCCCATCCCCGGCAAACCCAACGGGATGACGACGATGACAGTCGACCCGCTCCAGGGCATCGTGGAGCTCGGGTTAGGTTCAAGCTTGGCGCTCTCCTTCGCAGGCGTGCCAAAACTGCCAACCATCGTGGACAGAGCTCGTGCCTCTGTCAGGCAAGGTGGAGAACCCCCAAAACACATCTCCGACTCTGAGCCCCGGGAGGGGATTTTCGGACAACAGCTTTACCCTATAAGATTAAACCCACAACAGTAGGATCCTTATTAATCAGGACCCCGGAGAATGAGATCCTCTACTTTTCTGAAACCCCCAATTGCGAAACTGAGCTCGCTCGCCTGTGTCATTCGCGGCAGTGTAGGCAACCAGCACGTCTGGGACGCTGGCAGCAGTGTCCAAAGGCGTTGGGCTTGGGACCGAAGTTTGCTCAGGACCTCAAAGCTGTTTAGGGTTTAGGGTGCCATGGAGCCTGAAGACTTCGAGTCTTCGTCTCCGAATGAGGAACCGGATGCGGAACTAAAGTCTACGCACTAGAATTCAGGAGGGTCGATGACACAGTGCTATGAGTAGCATTGATCACATTTACACCGCCTCCTTGGGTTGCAACCAGAAACCGTAGCTATAATGAAACCTCGAGACACCATATCAAACACTGCAATCCAACATAAACCGCCAAGGCGTCAAGCCTGCTTGGGAGGCAGGCATCTTGTACTATTTGTAGTACTGTAGCACTGCAGAGGCAGCCTATGGCAGTCCTAACGAAGGAGTACCTGCTAAAGTAAATCTTGAAGCCCTTTCTGACCCCACGTGATTTCGGGCCAAGCCCCTCACCTGTGGCCTATGCGGCTTCAGCCGCTCCAGCATGCGAGACTCGAAGCGGGTGGCGCACGCAGGTGCCATGTCAGATTCCTGACCTGAAGGGGTGGCGCTGGGGCGTGGGTAAAGGGGCGAGAAGGCTTTGGTGGGCATGGGGCCTACAGGTCTTGACGGTACAGGACTTGAAGCTCGAAGGTGCCAGGCTTGCGGTTGAGGGCTCTAACCGGGTTTATGGCCTCGAGGCACTAAGCGTTTAAGGGTGGAGTTTGGATGCTCTAGGGGCCTAGGAAAGATTCGCAGAACGGAGCCCTGAATTTTGCCGAGCTCCAGCCTGGGCAGTCCTTATGCACGTCAGACCAGCCCCAGAAAAGGAAACGGCACCGCTTTCTTAGCGAAGATGCCTTGGCTACGACCACTCCTGAAGCGCTAGGCCCAAAACGAAACGACTTTCCAGCGGACTGCGAACCCTCCAGTGGCAAAGCCGCAATGCCTTTGGGCCCCTGCAAACCTTTTTGCAACTGGCCTGCTGCGACTCCTGCAAGCCTTAAAACCCGAAACCCACATTGCAATTCCGTCTAATTCCTATCACTTCGAGACTGATTTTTACACCAAAAAGAGTTCACTGGGCTTTTCATCCATTTGGCTAAGCGGGTCGTAGCTTGCTGCTGCTTCTCCTCCATGACATCCTGAGAGCGTCTGCGCTTGCGGGGCGCCTCCTCCATGCATCTCCTGGATAGATAGATAGATACATATACATATATATATATATTTATTTACATAGACTATATATATATATATCACATGACATATTCCTGGAAGAAGCTGGGGGTTTCGGCGCTCAATCTCGGACATGGTTTAGGGTTCAAGTCCCTTGCGATGTGGTGGTTGGCGGTTAGTGTAACAGTGGGGGGTCCAGGCTTAAACACATGAGGGAATGGTATTTTTCAGTGGCAAAGCCTGTTCGATGTTGAAGGCCGGAAAGCCATCTAAAGTATGTATGGGCCAGTGGGTTGAAGGCTTTGGGGGGTCGAGTTTGGCAGCCCTCCGGGCCGTGATGCGACCCTACCCGGAAATACTTCAAGCCGGGTAGCCCAAACTGGAACATCCGAACACATGAATTTGGACCTGACAAGGTATGTCAGTACATACAGTTTTCGAACTTTCCTTCTTCTGCAGCTTGGGCTTGCGAGAGATATCCCCTACTGTAGCGATAACATCAGGTCATGGAGTTGGCTTCCGCTTGACTTCAGCATCAAGCTCAGAAGTTCCTTTAAGAGACCTTCCGTGATGGGAGCTTTCGGTGGGACGGCGAGCACACTAGAAACCCCTCGGCTCTGCTGGTTTTGAACAGCCGCCGGGGTCCGGGGTTTGGGGTTCAAGGTATTCAAGTTTTGGATTGAAAATCTTTACGCTTCTTGGTTTTGAAGCTCAGGGCCTATAGGGGTTGTGGAGCTCAGGCATTTGAGTTTGGGGCTCCCAAGCTGCAATCTAAGGCTCGCAGGGAGAAAGAGCTTCTCCAGTTCCTGCGGGTTGACGTTGAGGAAGGAACGCTTCCGCGAAGCCGTGGAGTCGTGCCAGGCGGTGCTCAAGTTTCCTTGGTTGCCCTTAGACTCTAATCTAACCCTAAACCCAGACCCTCGACTCCTGGAGCCATGAGATTCAACTTGATTGTGAGTTGAAGTGAATGAATCCTATGTTTCACTACTTCCCAAACTTGACAAACAATCGCCGGTGCCTTCGCGCGGATTCACGCAAGGTTGGCTACAACGCCTTACTACGCGTGGAAGGTTTAGACGCCGAGAGGTAGGGTAGACAATTGTAAGGGTGAAGGGATCTATAGTAAACAATATGGTTTCCTTATTATGGTAACTTTAATTAAATCCCTTAACAAGAACCCAGGCAAGGGCGTGCTGTCCCGAAGATCGAGGCGCCTTTCTGCAAGGCCTCTGGAGACTGTGCCAGCTCTGAACCAGTCGACAATCCTTCCTTCTCACCTGGGTCAGCTTCGCCGGGAATGGGTCACAAGTGCTCCAAAGAATCTCATCCAAGCCTTCAAGCCCAAACCGGCGATCCTCTGCCTGCCCAGGCCTGAAAAACGAAAACGCTTCCAGCTGAAGCCAGGTACTTTGGACCAGGTCCTCGCTTTCTGGACTGGGACAAGCGAAACATAAACACCCCTTCATGCGCCTTTGGGCTACATACAAGCAATAACTGCAGAAACCGTCAGCCCAAATACACACCACTGCTTCCAATGGCCATTTGAAAGCCAAGTCCAACACTCTCTTGCATGTAAAGTCCAAAAGCACTGCAGCCCAACGCAGTCTTACAAGATCCTGCATGTCAAAGTTCAGTCCTGCAAACCTTTCCAAGTCGTTGTTGTCATCTCCCCAGGCGGTGCGATGACGCAAAGAAGTGGAGCGGCCCTGCTTGAGGCTCAGTGTCTGTTGGTCTTACTGCAGGTATATGTCGAGACATGACCATTGGCGGTGCTAATCTCTGGCATGTTCTTTTCATGGTTATCATGATTGAAGATAATTATGAAGGACGACCTTGATGCCGACGATCGTGGTGATGATGACGATCACCGCGACGAATATTGGTACTGATGCTTATGAATTGAATAATGTTGAATAATTATGTCGGTATGAACCATGGTGGGCAGGGTGTCGAGGGTGCAGTGACAAGAATTAATTAGTTCATACTTGCACTCCAAGGAACGGGCTGATTAGGTTCCAACTCTGCTGCTGTACACATCAAACAAAGAGCTCAGCGAATGAGTCTGTTGCTGAGCCTCCCGGGAGCACGCGTTCCCTCAAAGCTCTCGGCACGCTGGAGCAGCGTCAAAAATTGCTCGTCCACCACTTCCGGCGGCAGGTCCTCGCTCCCCTACTGCGGGACTCGGTACTGAAGCCCGATATCGTAATATAGGGGCCTTAATAATTAGAATAGGGTTTGGGGGTATCTTGTACTATAATTATACTAAGGAACCCCCAAAACTCTATTCTACTTATTAAGGCCCTTACATTAGCCTCAACCCTTTGTCTTGGACTCACCTTGAGCATGTGGGAAATCAGCGACTAGACCCTCTCTCTCAAAACCTTCCAGGCTAAGTCCTCAGTAAAGATCATTCGGCAGAGCCTTGCCAGGGAGTCTGCTCGCTGGTTGATGATCTCAGGACTCAGCCCAGCAGATGTTGCTTCTTTCCTGCTCTGCATGTGCATCCTCTACTGAGCTTGCCGGTACATTTGCATGCAGTCTGCGACTAGTAGAACATAGTCATATTCAGAAAACCCCCGAACTCCTGTACTCCTCCACAGCATCGTCCACCAGCATGGATCCTGCTCGTTGAGCGAAGAGCTTGGCTCTATCACGCATGCGCCGCAACAGTCGATAGTCGGCCGACTTCATCTTTGCCAAGTTGACCACCTGTCCTGTGTCATCTTTGCGAGACTTCGATGCTAAGTACATCACATAGCCTTCTCCCACATCTTCCAGTTTGCTCTTCTCGGTGGCCATGAAGGTCTCTTGCAGGGCAGAAAGCGTCTCTTCAACAGATTTGAAAGGCCCTGGCCCGACGATCTTCAAAGTTACAGTGGGCAATCCGGTCTGCTGAAGGAAAGCGATGCTGCTGGAGGGGGGCCAACAAAGCTCGTCTCCATAGTTTGGCACGATTGCAAACCACTGCAGTCGGCGCAAGGCCCCATAGTCCACCAAGTGAGCGCCACTGCCTCCAATCATCTCGCCCACTAAAGTCCGGGAAGCAAGCATCTCTTCGAGAAGCTTGCGAGATGCTTCCGGCAGAACAGACAGCTGCGCAAACCACAGCTCTGCCACATGCCGGGCAAAACGGTAGCGACGGTCTGACCATTGTGGCAGCTCGAGTTCGCCAGCATTAGCCGCAAGCAGCGATACATTTTTTGAGCAGAGCACCCATTGCCCGGTTCCAGTGAAGTAGGACACCTTGGACAGTCCCTTTCCGAGTGCTTGTGGCAGTGTTGTAATCCCTGCATCCCAAAACAGCCCTCAAAGGAAAAGATATCCGAAGCCCCCTAGACAAGCTTAGCAGATCTAGAGGTTCAAGTCATGAACCCTATCTTTACCTTAAACTCCTAAAACCCAACAAATCTAAAGCCTAGAACGCAGAATCCTATGCCATGAGCTCCGCCTGTGCGTTCTCACCATTTGCTTTGTCCAATCGGCTCAGCTCCTGAGCCCACCGAGCTCCAGCGATGCTGGCTAAGCTACAGCGAAGAGCTTTCGGGTTTGGGCTGTGAGAGGCTTAATGGGTTTAGGACTTCGGGGTCCGGGTGGTTTGGGGTCTAGGCGGTCTAAGATGTGGCTTGACGGGGGGCGTGTAGGGTTTAGAGGAGTTGGGTTCGGGCTTCAGGGTTCTGTAGTTTCGGTTTAGGCTAGGGGCTAGGATAGTTGTACGTTCGGGCTTAAGGCTTAAGGTGCTTAGGGTTGATGGGTCTGGGGCGTAGGGTAGGTAGTTCGTGTTGAGGTTTACGGCGTTGACTTTGGTTTTGGGCTTTACAGCTTTAGGGTATCTGGGGGTTTAAGGGCTCTAGGGTTTCACGAAAGTCTCTGGAATGCAGCTGAGGGATGGCAAGGCTCAATGATCGAGCCACTGGAGATGGCTTCCTTGACAGAGCCCACCAGAGATCGACACACCTTCTGCGAGAAAGAATCGCCATCAAGATTGTCGGACATTGCCTGGGCCAGGATTTCGAGGGAGCTTAGGATGAAGCCCTTCAACGTAAAGCCCTGAACCCTAAACCCTGATCTTTTAAGGTGTTTGCTTCTTGTATCATCAGGGTTTCCACGGGCTCCGACTCCGGAGCGTAGACGTTATTTTGTTTCATGGCCTGAGCATGGAAATCGAAGAACTTGGGCAGTCCGCGCCGGACGAGGGTGGCATCACCCCCAGTGCCCACCGACTCCACGAAGCTTAAGCCTCGGTTTGCTCGGTTTTAGGGTTTAGGGGTTTAGGGGTTAGGGGTATTTTTTGCCTCCCGCCTGGCTAGGACGAACCTGCGATGCAGGGTCAACAGACAGCAAACTGTAGCGGATGCTCGATGCTTGGCAACAGCATGAAAGCAGATGCATTGAACTGCTTGACTCCGTAACTCTGACGGCCATCACGGCTCAGAGGGGAGGCCTCTGTGAGGCCCCCCCGAAAGAAAACTCGCAAAACATGCAATCACGAACACTCCGTCACAAACTGTTCTGTGCAGCCGACAAAGTCCCTTCTCCTTCACACTTCCGTCTCCAGAGTCCCTCCGAACATATGTCAGTCTACCTCCTGGCTCGACTCTCGGCAGTCCATTCCCAGCATCTCCTCAACTGTCGAAGCGATGCCCCCTGAGAAAAGAACCCACCGAGCCCGCCGACCAGTGTCCCAGAGCGCAAAAGCAGCGCTGCACTTGGTCACGAACGGCGGTGTTTCTCCAAGTTGTCACTCGTCAAAGCTGGTGGGCATGCAGTCACGCAGTAAATTCAATATGTAGGACATGCGAAGGTGCAACAGTTCAAAGGGCATCCATGCAGAGCATTCAGAAAAGGCATGCAAATCAAGGTCTCGGTTTTCCGTGCAGCAAATTCCACAGTATGACAGGGGTTTAGGGGCTTAGGGTTTAGGGCTCATCTTACACTCAGCTGGTGTCTGCCGTAGTTGAGGGCAGGCTCGGTGAGGGCTTCGAGGGTCTGTTTCAGGTGTCGACTCGTGCTCTGCCTAGTGAATTGCAAGAAAGAGTCGCAAGGTGTGCAGCTTGTAGATGTTTGGGCTTGGGGCTTTCAGGACATACTCCAAAGCCATCCGCAGCCTACAGGAAGAGGCCTTCACAACGATGAAGACCTGGAGGGACCCCTGGAACCCAAATGGGACCAACAGAAATTCTCAAAAACCGGCACTCCAAGGTCTGCAGTTGAGGGAGCTTGAACGAAACACAGGCTCGAAATTTTGCGGCCTCAGACTTTCAGCTATTGACCTAAAGCTCCCTAAACACACCGAAAACTTTTAGCTCTAGCTACTAACCTAAAGCTCTCAAAACCTACTGAGCTGCTGTTCCGACCAGGAAGCCACGCCTCAAGCGGCGCAGAAGCATGGGATCCTCAGCAAAAAGTAAGTCCTCCGAGCGCCCTCGTAGCCGGCTCCGGGTGATGGCGACGTCATGGAGCCTTTTAGGTCTCTATGGTTGGGCGAAACCCTGAATGCAAGACGCCCCCCGCCCCAGAAACCCATACCGGGATGGTTACTGCAGGCTTTCGGGCACTTTCATGCAAGCTGCCCTATCAATCCTTCCAACGCAGGGGCCAACCTTACATACATACTAAACTAGCTTGTGTAACTTGGTGAGTGGAAGGGAGGATGCAAGAAAGAACGGGTGAAAATTGCATCAAACTGTTGGGCCCAGGAGCATGAGGCCGTTAGGGAAGCCCGGCATGGATGTCGCGATTCGGCGGCTGACCAGGTGGACAGCCGGGCAGTTCTGCACCCATCGCCAGATTTCCATGCCGCAGGGTCTCGATCACAGCGTGGAGTGAAAGCCGGGCGACAATGGGGACAAGGGGCAACGGTTGTAGTTAATGCATAAGTGCAAGTTTGGCTCGCTGGCCCGTTAACCATCCGAGCTTGGCTTCCTTAGTCATACCGGTCCATGGCATGACAAAGAGCCTGTGAACCGAGGCGACATGCACGGCTCGCTGAAGCTCGGCCGAGTGCGGATAGCCCTGCAAGAGCTTCCTACTCAGCTCCCTCATGCATAGCCTCTTTTGCTCCGCTGAATCTGTGTCACATGCGCGGGCAAAGATGCACCTTCACCTGCTATCACTTATCAATATACCGTGCACCATGAACACTTGCTAAATCTGGCGAGTAGAAGCAAATACTGCGAGGAAATGCACCTAAGAAGACGCTTACGGGCAGCACGCACATCTCGAAGGTGCAGCATGCGAGTGCAAGGCTGCTCTATCGGGATTCATTTCAGAAGCTGTTGAAGTCTCCGACTTTCGAGACGTGCACCCGTGGAGCTAGCAATGGCCATGCCGTAGTTGGCATGATGGAAATGCCGTGCCAATTCAACTCTGTGGCTGCAGAGGCGTTGCTGCAGCCGAGAGCAAGCATTGGTTGTCAACTGACCGGCGGAGGCCGTAGGCAGAGGGTATACCCTAACCTCCTACAAGTTAGCTTTGTATAGGATCCTCGTCCTCGTATGTATGAATATCCCGTTATCAGCATGGGTTTGGCACTTTCAAATCGGAATCATCATTGGCTCGGGCTAGTGGAAAGCTAGATCTCCACCCGTGGGGGGACAGTCCAACGGCCCCGGTCATGCTTCCTTTAACTCGAATCTAGCTTGCTGCTGTTTTCTGGACTCCTCACTGAGATTTTCAGCGTTGGGAACGTGGCCTTGTCTGCGCTGCACCGCATCTACCGACATCTTTCCGGAAGAGGTTTGCATCGTGTTTCAAAGATCTCGTTCGCCAGGGCAAACTGAGCCGCTGCCGACATGTTAAATTCACAGAAATACTGGGCTAGCGTGAGTAAACGAAACCATGTTGCTCAGCATTCAACGACTGACTGAAGCAACAGACTGTGGCAGCTACTTACGAATGGCACGGCAAACGTGATCGTGAATCATGAACACTCACCTCGAGAAGCTGAGATCTCTGCGATCAATTTGGCAGAATCTGCCAACGGTGTCGGCGGCCGCAGAGCCTGCCAGGCATGTAGTTGGATGTAGTTGCTGTGCTTGGATATTTGGTAACTGATCCTAATTGCTTTTATTCGCGGCTGCCCCGAAACGCGTAGATGTGGCTAAGCTCAGAGAACCAGCAGCCCGCCAACCCTCAAATCCATCAAGCCCTTCAACACCGTTCCACAGCCATGAAAAGTGCCAAACCGAGTCTGGCCCCTGTCGCGCTTAGCAGGTCCGCATGTCCGTTTCCATAAGAAAAAAACTGCAGCAACGTGGGCGCTAACTGGCCGGGAGCCACAGGAAGCCTCGAGGGGTGAAGTCTCTCATTGTCTCAGATGCTCCAGGCGAGCATCACTGCCAGGCTTGGGGCTTAGGGCCTCCGGTTCCAAAACAACTTGCATGCCCGATCGTGAATAACTAAACTTCAATGGCAAAGCCCTCAAGCAGTATGCCCTTGTTTGTGGACCGCACATGCTTCTTTTTTGCGGGGTAATTAGCAGCTCTGGGCTCCCTCTCCTCTGAAACCTGTCGGGACTTCTACAAGCCCTAGTCGCTTAAGGGCATGTAAAAGTTGGGGGTTAGAGGCTGAGGCTTTTGGCTCCCGCATGGCACAGTTCAAAGACTCTGCGAGGCAGGTAACGCGTGAGGCTGAGGCTTAGCGCTTTAGGGTTTTGGTTTTAGGGTTTGGGGTTTTGGGGTTTAGGGTTTGGGTTTCCGGTTACCTGCTTGCTTCCGGTGTCCGCCTCTTTCAGCTGAACTGTCGCTTGGGTCAGCAGGGCATCCCATTCCTGCACCGACAGCCACTACCAAGGCTGCGAGGATTGCAACATCACATTGACGTAAGGGCTCCATTTGCCCGAGTGGGGGGCTGCTGGTCTCCTACTTAGGTGACTGGATCGCAATAGACCCTGCCATAGGAGGGTATTGTTATTGTGGCTGTCTCACGTGCGACAGTGATTTTGGATCCAGTTGTTGCTGCTGTTTCCTACTGCTTCCGAGTTTGAATCTCCTGTTTTCGAGTACCGGTACACGCTTTGGTGCTACTGGGGATCGGCGTGTGCAGTTTCGGGGACATAAAATGTGGAATCAGATTGCCATCCAGGCCCAAACAGCACCAACGGTTGTAACAAGGCGTTAAAATGCCGCATGTACTCAATGGCTCCTATTCAGTTGTCAAAACGGCAGCCATGGAGCAGGAACAGCGAATGATGTTCCTCGGCCGTCCATGCGTCTAGATGTACAAATGCCAACGAAGGGTGTTGTTGCTTCCTCGGCCTTCAACTCCGACACCTAACCGAACAAAAACCCTCGGAGCTCGAAACCCACTCACACATCCTTTCAACTCCTCGGCGCAGATCCGAATCTCCCCAAGCCCCCATACATCCATGAGCTTCCATGAAACTGCAAAGCATTCCCACCCTAGAGGTTCAGCCGCCCTTTCAACCCTAAACTCCAAGACAGGCCTTCAGGCCGGGTTTCGGCGCCTCCGACAGTGGCAACATCTGGTGTTTGTCCTATATCTCTATATATATCTCTCTCTCTCTCTCTCTATATATATATATTATGTATACACACATGTATGTATATAAATATATAGATTTATCTCTGTGTATGTACATATTGATTAGTTATTCACGACATACTCTATCTATCTCTCTCTATATGTATATATATATGTGTGTATATATATATATGTATATATATATATAATGTCCATCTATACCTGTATGTATGAAAGAAAGGTTAACACGCCTTCGAGGCTTGGTGGTGGCCGGGCTTCGAACTCAAGTTTTGAGGCTTCGAGTAGGGCCCAGTTGGAAAACAAAAACATGTCTTTTCGGTGGACGAATAAATTGACTAAAATATCAGTGTACATAGTTACTATTAATAAGTGTAGGGGCTGCAATCGTATTGTATTGCCTTCGTAAGGGGGGACAGCTGTGCTGGAACTTCGAGTGAGTGAATTCCACGACCCAGTTTTCCTACGCGCTCCGATGTACCAACCGGATCTCATATGTTATCTTGATCCCAAACTCTGCATGCGAATCGCCACATTAAGCACTGTCTGACAGGACCAGCTGGTGCGAAACTTGGCGGACTTAAACTGTGCACACAGGGCTTGCGGCTGCAGGCTTGGCACTCAACCCCACAAGCCCTACAACCCAAATCCTACAAGGCAAAGCCTTTTAGCCGCGGCCTGAGGCATCGAGCCTTTGCCAACTACGAACGCAAGCCTTCAGCTGGTTGACACGGCTGCCGTTGTCATGACCTGCAGAAAGCGAGCGTGATGTTTGCACCGACTGCGAGAGCTCCGCCCCAGCCCTCACACGTGCACAAGAAGGAGTGCAATCGCAGAATTATCTCTTGTTTTCGCAGCCTTTGGTCTTATGATGCTCTTCAATTCTGTCAGTCCTGTCTCTCAGACAACTGGCCAACACAACACTCTCTCTGGGCTGAGCAACAATACCAGGCGAGGAAATCTGAGGCAGGCGCTGTTTTGAACCTGAGTGGCAGGCACGGCCATATTCACTCATAAGGGGCTGTAATGCAACTCCTAGCCGATTCTTTGCCAGCCGAAAGTCCTATCGCCCATACTAAAGCCCCTAAACCCGAAGCCGTAAACCCCTTAAACCCCTAGCCCTAACCCCTAAGGCCCCGAACCGCTAACCCCTAAATCCGAGCTCTTTCGATGTGGATGGGTTTTTGCACGATTCCTGAGACCAAAAGGTCCGAACCTCGGAGCCCCAAAAAACGAAAGTTCGAGCTGGAGCCTGAGCTTCGGGCCCGGGCCCCAGGCTCTGCGAAAAGTCCCCGTTAAAATTCAAGCGGGCGGTTTAGGGTTTAGGGTTT